TTTCTGGGTTACCCACCACTTTCAAATAAGCTAAGGTGCCTAACGAAAAAATTGATATCTTTTTCCTTTAGATTTCTCTAGATTTCAAAATCACAAGGGGTCAGAGCTAAATGGGACCAAGTCCAGATGACCCAGGCCAGATTTGTATAGAGCTTTTAAGATTTGCAAAGTGTTCTTCACATTATTTCAATTTGATCCTCACAACAACCTCATGAGTTGGTGTTATTATTATACCTGTTTTGCAGATGAGGAAACTGAGGTTGAATAGAGATTTGGTGTCTTGCTCAGGGTCACATAGCCAGTAAATGTCTGAGATAGGATTGGAACTTGAAGTTTTTTTGACCCCAAGTCCAACTCTCTGTCCAATATGGCACCCAAGTGTCTGAGAAGAGAATTAGCTTGCCCAAGGTCACATCTGGTGTGTGGTAAAGCCTAGAGCTGAACCACCAGTCTCTAATCCGCAAGTCCATTGAATTTTTCATTAAGCAACACTGTCTCTTGTTCAACAGAATTTCCTCTCATTCATTCAAGGACTGAGTCTTGCCAAATGAGAAGTGCATATTGGAAGGCTTGAAATGTCTTGTACCAAGATGAGCAATTTAAATCCAAATACCTCCAACATTACAGTTACACTTAAGATAGGGAAAAGAGAATGCGTGTGAGATGACTCTCTTTCCAGTAGAGGGAGGCATAACCTTTCTTTGAATTCATGTCTTTTGTCAGATGATGCTGAAAAAAGGAACCTACAAATCTAATGCTGATCTTAATCCTTAAGTACTATTTCTGCTCCATTCTCGAAGGCTGGAATCACATTTCTATCTTCGTTGCAGAACTTCCCCTCTCACGGCTTGTCTAATATAAGACTTCATTCCCCCTCTTTGCATCTCTTTGTATTTCTTTTTTTTTTGTCCTTTTTTTTTTTAAACAACTCAGCACAGTAGAGAATATAAGGACCTGGAGTGAAAGAGGAGAGAATAGAAAAGTATTAACCCTTCCACCCCACCACCATCTTCCATTTTTAGAAGTTGCTTAGCACAGTAATTGGCATATAGCAGAGGCTTAATGGATGTTTATTGAATTGATGCAGGATACAGCAGGGATTGTAGAGTCAGGAAGGCCTGCATTCGAATCCAGCCTCAGACCCTGGCAAGTCAGTTAACTGCTGTTTGGTTCAATTGACTCATCTTCAAAATGTGGGTAATAATAGCACCTACCTCCCAGGATGAACTTAAACTAAGATAATATTTCTAAAGCACTTTGCAAACCTTAAATCACCATATAAATGTTAGCTGTTAAATTAGTATATTTCTCTCCAATTTTACCATCTGTAGTTCTCTTCCCATGAGGCCCTCACAATTTTATCTATAATGAACATGAGAGACATTGTCGTGTAGGGAGAAGAGCATGAAATTTGGAGTCAGAGGAACTGTCTCTTGTTCCAGCTTTGCTCTTGCCTACTCATGATGCCTTAGGCTAATTAGTTCCTATTCCTGGATCTCAGTTTCTTCCACACGTAAAAAGAGGGGTTTCCATGACAGGATCTTTAAGCCGTTTAAAAATCTAAAGCCTATGATAGTTTTATGAACAACAATAAGGAAAAAGATATGCATGATTCTGGTCTTAAATAATAAAGTGATTTCAGATTTCCAAATGGTGGTTAAAAATTCATTTGGTATAGTATAATTATAGCATCTTTGAATTGAAAGGCACCTTAGAGATTATTTGTCCAAGGTATCACTCAGTGCTGTAGAAATCCTCTTCCCCAAATGAGATGAAATGAGATAATATTAGTAAAGACCTTAAGGTAAAGTGCCTAGCACGTAGTAGGCACTTAACAAATGCTTGTGCCCTCTCCACCTCCTTTCACAGCATCCCTTGCTGTCACCCATTCATTGAACAGATATTTACCAAGCACCTGCTATATTCAAGATCTTGTACTTGCTACCAGAAAAGCAAAAACATTTAAGGACATAGGACATAAAGGCACCCCTATCAAGGAGACTGCAATCAATCTAATAGGGAAAAGTGTAAGGATACAAATCTTTATGATATGAAGAAGTGGGCCAGAAGTATACAAGAACAGGCCCTACTGAAGTGTGGTGAGAAATGTGAGCAAGTAGGAATACTTTCGTTTTTGTTTTTTTTTTTGTTTTTTTTGGCTAGGCAATGGGGTTAAGTGACTTGCCCAGGGTCACACAGCTAGTAAGTGTTATATGTCTGAGTTCGGATTTGAACTCAGGTCCTCCTGAATCCAGGGCTGGTGCTCTATCCACTGCGCCACCTAGCTGCCCCCAAGTAGGAATACTTTCAACCTAGGTGGGGCAGGAGTCAGGGAAAGCTTCCCTGGAGGAGGTAACCCACTGAGACAGGCATTGAAGAATAAGGTGGATATCAACAGATAGATAGGGAGTCAGGCTACTGGAGGCATGGAGTTCAACAGATGGATACAAGATAGGGAGATGGGCTATTGGAGGCATGGAATTCAGCTAGAACAAAGGGCCAAGGTTGGAGACAGCTAGAGGAACAGTTCATTTTAATGCTAACATAAAGTTCATGCAGGAAAGAGCAGGAAGAGATAAAGCTGGAATGGCAGAATAGAGCCAGATTTCAAAGGCCCTTAAGTGAAAATAACAGGATTTTATATTTTATTTAGTAGGCAGTGGAGTCCACTGAAGATTTTGAATAGAGAAGTTTCGTGATCAGACTTCGAGTTATGACAACTCTGACCCTAGAATGCGTCATATTCTATGTAGCCATTTCCTCATTAAAGCAAATCCCTCCCTTTGTGTTTCAAAGAGGCAAACCATTTATACCAACAAACTAGTTGTCCCATAGGCACTTCAAACTCAGTAAACCGAGAGCAGCTTATCTTTTCCCCAAAACCATCCCCTCTTCCCGACTCTCCTCTCACTATGGAAGGCACTGCTATTCGTCCAGCCACCCAAACTCACAACCTCCCTGTAGCATCCTCATAATGCCTCTCTCACACTTAACTCCTTGTCCAAATCACTGCCACGCCTTGCCATTTCCTACCTTCACGACCTCTTTGGCATGGGCCCCGTTGTCTCCAGTCACAAAGTCACCAGCACAGTGTAGCTCTCCTCCCCTCATGCCTGGACTTTGCCTGCCAGTTGGAGCTTTCAGTCTCAAGTACCTTGCTGCTCCAGTCCATGAGCCAGTCAGCCGCTACAAAGACACTCCTAAAGCCCAAGCCTGACCACGTTGCCCCTTCCTACTCGATCAAGTCCAGCGATTCCTTAGTACCTCCAGGGTTTGACATTTTAAGCCCTTCACAACCTCACCTCTTCCTATTTTTCTAGTCTTTTTATACTTTATTCCTCTCCATGTCCTTTATGATCCAAAGACACTTGCCTTTATTCTGTTCTTTAAATGTGAACACTCCTTTACCCAACTCTCTTCCTTTTCTTGTGGTAGCTAGATGGCACAGTGGATAGAGCATTGGACTAGGAGACAGAAACAGCTGAGTTCAAATGTTGCCTTAGACACTTACTAGCTGTGTGACCCTTGGCAGGTCACTTAACCTCGATTTACCTCAGTTTCCTCAACTGTAAAATGGGGATAATAAGAGCACCTTCCTCGGAGGGCTGTTGTGAGGATCAAATGAGATAATAGTTGTAAAAACACAGTGCCTGGCACATAGTAGGCTCTATGTGAACGGCCTGGAATGTTGTCCCTCTTCTCCTCCACTCCCTTGCTTCCTTCAAGTCACCACTCCAATCCCACCTTTTACAGGAGGCTTTTCTCAGCTCCCCCTCACCCCCACTTCCTTTACTGCCTTCCCTCTGAGATTGTCCTCAATTTATCTTGTTCACATCCTGATTATCCATAATTACTTTCGCGTCATCCTCCCCGTCAGTTGTGCATTCCTTGAGGTCAAGAACTGAGTTTTTGCCTTTCCCTTTATCCCCAGTGCCTACCACAGTGCTTTGTACATAGTAAGTGCTTAATAAATGCTCATTAACTGACTTGAATGCCTCTTACAAAAATGCTGTTGCTGTAATAATTTTGATGTATTGGAGGCCTTCCTTTTTGTCATTGACTTCCTTGGGGTATATGTAATAGAGTCTTTAGGTCAAAGAGTATGCATATTTTTGGTCACTTCTTTAGTATCATTCCATATGTTTTCAGACCAATTGGACCAATTCACAGCTCCATCAGCAATGCACTAGTGTACCTGTCTTTCCACAACTGGTCCAATATTGACCAATTTCATCTTTTGGCATCTAGGCCAACTTTCTAGGAGTAATGAGAAACCTCAGATTTGTTTTGATTTGTATTTCCCTTCTTAGTAGCGATTTGTAGTACATATGGCCCTCTCGATTCTAATAGAATTAAATGTTCTTAGTTCTGATGTGTGTTAGTCTTACTTCCAGGCACTATGTTTTGTAGGTGGCTTCCTTCATAGGACCCTGAAGAGAATCAAGAGCATGGTGCTCAGTAAAAATAAGGAAGGATGGTGCTCTGGGAAAAAAACCAGACTTGGCAGTCAGGAGAAACCTAGGTCTGACAGTGCTTGAGGCACTTTCCTATCTCATTTAACTGATCTGAGTCTTCATTTCCTAATCTATAAAATGGGGCTAATAATCCCTTTATTGCTTAATTCATAGGTGAGGATCCAGTAAGATAATGTATGTAAAGTACTTTGTAATCATTACAGCACTATATATAGTCAATTATTATTATTATGATAATCAAGCATTTATTCTTTCCTTCATTCAGTTTATTCATTCAGTAAATTTTATTAAGTACCTTCTGTATGGAGAGGACTAGGCATTAAGGGAATCATGAAGATATTTAATACATGATCCTTGTCCCCAAGGAATTTAAAATATTGGAGGGGATTATTAAAAAAGTACGGTAATAAATTTATATGGGAGCAGTTATTCTATAACAAATGCTCCTTGATGGATTGGGTTTTTTTTTTTTGGTGAGGAAATGCGTTGTTTTGTATATCTTAAACGTGATTTTCTCTCTTTTAGCTTTATGAACAGACGTGGTATCTCTACAAATCCCTATCTCGGCAGTGCCTCCAATGGATACGCCCACCCCAGTGGCATGGCACTTCATTATGATGATGTCCCTTGCATAAATGGATCGGTGAGAGTGTCATTTTTATAGAGCAAATGTTTTATCTTTGCTGGGAGGCAGGACTGTCTGAAAAATTTCACACTTTAGCATCCCTGGGTTCCTTTCAAATAAGCTTGGGCTTTTTCCATGTAGAAGCAGGATGAAGCTGCCGTCTCATCTTTCATCCCTTATGTTTTGGCATGTTGTTCATCTTAATCCACATCAGAACGCATATAGACTTTGACATGCTAGGGGGTGGCTTATCAGTTAATGCTAACACCATTAATTAAATATCTGAGCATGCCGGGAAATATTGTATAATTACGCTCCCACAGATGTCCATGCTCATTTCTACCTTCCAGGTGTTTACTCATTTTGTTCCTTTTCCCTTCCCTTTCACTTATTCACATCTAACCATTGCCCCAAGGAAGAGCTCTAAGTTCCTTCTCCTCCATAATGCCTTCTTCCTCACTCAGCCTGCCCTCATTCATTTGTTTATCCATTCTACAGACATTTACTAAATATTTACAACATGATGGTGTCACCTCTTTCCTGAACCATTGTAACAACCTCATAACTGGTCTTTCTACCTCCAGTCTCTCCTTTATAATTTATACTTCACACAAATGCCAAAATGTTCTTCCTAACTACCATTCTGCTCTCTTATTATGCATGTCAATCTACTACTCAAAAACTTTCAATTACTCCCTCTTGCCTATAAAAAACTCTTTTCCTGGCATTTAAGACCCTCCTGAGACTAGGCCCAATGAATCTTTCAAGCTTTATTTCCCAATATTCTTCCTGTGCTTTCTATTCCAGTTAAACTGAACTTTTTGGTCTTCTCCTACCCTCTCCTATATCCTTTTAGGGGCTATTCCCCCTTCTTATAATGCAGTGGTATTATATTTTAATAGAAATAGAGGAGTGGGTGCTAAACCATACATAACAATCCCTGCTGGTGGCATCTTGACTCAGAAAACCACAAATTAATATGATCCATCATTTTTTTGTTCACTATTTTCCTATTACATTTTAATTTGGTCCAGGCAGTTCTGCAGAGTGTTGCCAGCCACATGTTTGATACCTCTGCTGCAGAACCCTCCTCTCATCTCTGACTGTTAAATTTGTCATAGGAGCATAGAATCGAAAAGACCAGTGTCATCCACCCCCATTACGTTACAGTCAATGAAGCTAGGCACCAGGGAGTTTAAATGACTTGCTCAAAGTCACAGAGACACAAAGTATCAGAGGAAGGATTTGACCTAGGTCTTCTGATTCCCGAAGTCATCTTCTTTCAGGGTCCAGGTCAACTTCCCACTCCTACATGAAGTCTTACTTCCTCAGCTTTTCTTAGAGCATTTTTATCTGAATCTATAGCACATTCTGTCCTGAATCATCTTGTGTTTCCCATTATTATAAATTCACATGAATAACAAGACGTATTCTCCAAGCTAGACAGAGAGCCTGTTTTCCCATATAGCTTTCAGAGTTGTTTTTGACTATTACTTTTTGTGTGTGTGAACACCTCTCCTTCCCTTACACATTTGCAGTGATTGACATTATTGTCTTGAATTTCTTTTATGACTGACGGCTGGTATCAAGTAGTTGCCACCTGCAGGTGTGTTCATTCAAATTGTTTCCAGAGACACCATAGATCATAATAGAGACCACTGGATGGAAGATACAGGAAGGGTGATCTCCCTCAATATAGAAAAAAATTCCTGATGATGAGATCTGTCAGGAAGAAATATTATGAAGTGGCTGAGGAAATGAAGGAGAGGCCCCTTCACTGGACTAGAGGGTCTTAAGACAGGATGGATCTCTTCTTGCCAGTTTTGTCCAGGGGATTCATGATTCATATTGGGGTCTGTTCAGATGATGGCTGTGGTCCCCGTCACCACCGAGATTCCATAATTCCATGCCTAGGCTCCTCTTTGACAGAAGTGAAGCTGACTAGTTTTTCCATAGCTTAAAGGGCACAATCAAACTAATAATTAGACTCATTTTGTTTAGATCAGGGGACCTCTACCTCATGATTCAGTGGTAGATTATATCTCAAAGGTTTAGGATGCAAGTAACTGGACCTTTCTGGGCCTCAATTTTCTCCTCTGTAAAATAAGGCATTTGGACTAGATGGTCCCTAAAGTCCCTTCCAGCTTTAAATCTATGATCCTAGGACCCTGTGACCTTTTTTAAGGTTTTCCTGCTGTTCCTCCTTCACATCAGTCCCCTTCCCATCTCTATTCCTTTGAACAGACTATCCTCCATTCCAGTGATATACTCCATCCTCTTCTCTGCCTCTAAGGATCCCTGGCTTCCTGTAAGACTTAGCCTAGGCACAGCCTCCTACATTAGACCTTTCCAGATCTCCCCCGCCCCCCACTCCAGCTGCTATATTTCTCTCTCTCTCTCTCTCTCTCTCTCTCTCTCTCTCTCTCTCTCTCTCTCTCTCTCTCTCTCTCTCTCTCTCTCTCTTTTTCTCTCGTATACATGTTTCTTTTGATATAATATAATCTTCTTGAGGGTAGGGACTATTTATCTCTTTGCTTTTCTATGCCCAATGCTTTGCAAAAGGCCTTGAATAAATGCAGATGAATTGATTAGGAGAAATCATAGCTAAGACTACCTGAAGAATATTGGGTAAATAGAGGCCAGGCTCTTTTAATGAAACTCCCACATGCCTTAGATTTATCTGTGAATAGCTTTATTTTTAGATTAGAGCTAAATAGCTGACGTCATAGAAATAGACACGTTGAAGTTAATGCAAAGGAATGAAAACACTCCTACGATGTAATTTTTAGACTGTGCTATTTTTACAACAAAGGCATTTAATTATGGTCTGACAGAAAGAAACTATATATGAAGTGTCTAAAAATGGGATAAAATTCACACAATATAAACTAAATATTGTTTCTTTTAAATGTAAGAGCCATTTGTCAAGAGACTTTAAAAAAAATCTGCCTTTGGAGAGAGCCTTTGGTTTTAATTTAGGCTTTAGCCAGCTGTGGTGTTAATGTCTTCTGGTTTTCTGTGTATGTGAAATGGTGTCTAGCTATTTTGGTCTCTGGTTTAAAGAAAGTCCTCCCTACCAAAATAAGTCAGAATTTGTATATCAGCTAGTTATTAAAGCATCATGCTTGGGGTCGGATGGCCAACTGGGAACTCTCCCTTTGAACACACTATTAATGGTAATAATAGCTCTCAGTTATGTCACACGTATGGTTTACAAAATGCTTTCCCTGCAATCTCCTTGGAAAGAAAGGGCCCAAGTATCAGAACCATCTGTAGGAATTCTTGAGCCAAGGAAAGTATTGCAAAACACCTCAAGGCAAGAAGCATGTAAGTCTGCACCCTCAAGACCACTTTTAAAGACAATTTTTTTTTTAAGGTGAGGTATGTGGGTGGGAGACCTTGAGGAGGAAACTTGGACTTGACTTCACATAAGACCCTGTGGAAGGGAGACCCAGTGATACCATCCATTCTGTTAAGGAAGATAGAAACTCCCATGAGTGGGTGAGGCTGTGACCAGGGAAGGGAAGTTTTGGGGTGTGGTGTCTGGGCTTTGTTTAGGTTTTTTTTTTTATCCTCTAAACAGCAGCAGCTTCAGGGGAAAGCCCCACTTTCACACTTAGTTAAATATCTTTAACAAGCATTATTAGACCCATTTTGCAGATTAGGAGCATGAGACTGAGAAAAGCCAGTTTACTTGCCTGTAGTTGCATAATTAGTACATGGTGGAGCTGGGACTCAAACCTTTTTGTCCCAACTTTATGTCCAGTGCTCCTTCCAGTTTGCCAAACCTCTACTTTGTTTACAAAGATTTTTTATCAACTGTAGTAAAGTAAGGAGTAAGGAGGGTAGCTGGGTGGCTCAGGGGATAGAGTGCTGGGCCTAGAGTCAGGAAGACTCATCTTCCTGGGTTCAAATCTGGTCTCAAATGTCTACTACCTGTGTGACCCTGGGTAAGTCATGTCACCCTGTTTGCCTCAGTTTCCTCATCTGTAAAATGAGCTGGAGAAGGAAATGGCAAACGTTTCCAGCATCTTTGCCAAGAAAGCCTCAAATGGGGTCATGGAGAGTAAGACATGACTGAAACACTCAACAGCATGCAGTAGGGAACAGCATCATAGGCAGATTTCCCTATGCTATCTGCTCACTAGACCCTAGGGAACCACACAGAGCACATGGCTGTAACACCTGTCTTGCAGTGGCAAGAGACCCTGGTCTGATGATTCCAGGTTTGGGTTCCAACTCTAACACTCCTCAGCTGTGTGACTATACATAAACCACTCAAACTCTCTGAACCTGGTTATCCATATCTGTAGAATGAGAATGAAGATTCTTGGGGTGAGGCCCAAGAGGGTTATTGTGAGGAAGGTGTTTTGTAAACCATGAAAGCAGGCACTGGAAAAATGTGAGCTCTTACTCTCTTTCTCTGAAGAGGAAAAAGGTTCAAGTTGTGGTGGACATATTCCCTTATTTAGTGAAGACTGTCAACCATTGGCTATAGAAATGACCCAGGGGACCCAAAAAAACCCAAAAACCAAACCCTTCCTTTCTTCAAGGGTGGTAAGATGGAAAAGTTCTGGGAAGAATCCCTATAGCAACCAAACCTACATGCTTGAGAGGGGACGTCACACCGATTAACCTCCAGGGGTGAGGAGGAGAGGGTTATGACTTTCTGACTTGCTGATGGTTTCAGTCTGCTTTGCTTTCTATCACGCCTTTATTACTAACAGCTGAGATGTGTGTATGTGTGTGTTGCAGTGGGAACAAGAAGACGGCTTTCAGACTTCCCGTAGCAGAATCTTGGGAGAAGAGACGCTTTATGATAACGCGGGGCTGTATGATAACTTGCCATCTCCAAAAATCTTTGCCCGCTACCCACCTGCTGAAAGAAAGGCTTCTAGATTATCTACTGACAAACTGTCTTGTAACCATTACAAACATCCTGTCTCCTCCAATCTGTCTTCTGCTCAGTCTGTCACTAATACCTCTTCAGTGGGGAGGGGATCTGTCGGGCTGAACTCTCAGGTATTGCATGGACTTCTGCAAAGTGCATTTGACTTGCATTTCATGTTTCTCTTATGCTTTCGTAGTAGTCTTGTGATTTCTGTTGCAAAGTGAGGATAAATAGTACCAGGTGGAAGAGAGGCATGATCTTTTCCCACCTGGAATGTTATTTGCCTACCAACTTATGCTTCCAGTCTGTATTTGCTTACTAATTAAGCTGATTAAGTGATAGTAGGGTACAGGGTAGAGCTGGTCCTGGAATCGGTAAAGGACATTAGCTTTGAAGTTAGAACAACTTGGCTACTGGCCACCTATGGGACCCTGGTCAAGATATATAACTGCTCTGGGCCGTCGATTGCTCATCCGGAAGATGAGAGAGGTTGGATAGCCTCTGAGGGTCTGTCCAGCTCAAAATCTATGTTCCTTTGATGTAAACCCCACTTCTGGCCATTACTAGCTGGATGACCTTGACCTTGGGCAACTGAAGTAACCTCTGTGTTCCTCAAGCTACTCCCTAGAACTTATGTGTTCTCTTGGCACTGCTTCCCCACAATGAGGATGACCCATGTCCTTTGCACATTCACCAATTATTTGTTGATAGATGATCAGTTATGTGGGCTTTTTAGTGATTAACAATTCACAACCTTGTATGTCTTTGCTTTTTTGATCCTTACAACCACCGTGAGAAGTAAGCAGTCAGTGCAGGTATTCTTAACCAGCTTTTACAGATGATGAAACTGAGGCTCAGAAAGATTAATTTATGGGCCCCGAGTTACAAAGCTAGTATCAAACAATGGTAACTTGAACCTAGAGTTTTGTACTCAAAGTTCAGTATTTTTTTCCCACTACACCTTAGCTGCCTCTTCTCTGTCCACTGGCTTTGGCACCTTCATTCAGTCCTAATAGCTTCAGATGGACTGCTGGCCCATTAGAATTATGTCAGGGTATTTAGGGGAAAAAATTTAAGCTTATCACAGACTTAGATATATGCTCAGTAGCAATGCCCTGTTACTGCCTAGAGTCACCAAGTGGCTGCATGTAGCCTTTTCTACATTCAACCTAAAATATTCAAGTAATAGTTCCCATTTCTCAAGACCTTTGTGTGTTTTCCTCATAACAAGTCTGTAAGTATTTCAAGTATATCCATTTTATAGATGGGAAAATAATCAAATCAGTCCACAAGCATTTATTAAATGTTTGGTATATGCCAGGCACTACTAGGCATGGGAGATGAGACTCCAATGAATGAAACAATCCCTCTTTTTAATGGGCTTGCATTCTAATTGGGGGTTACAACAAATATACATATACACACAGAGAGAATTAAAGAGTTTGTCAGGGAGAGTAGTAGCAGTTGAAGGGAATCAGAGTGGCTGTCCCACAGGGAGGAAGCAGCTGAGGCCAGACTTGAAGCCTAGACTTCTGATGCCAAGCCCCATGCTCTTTCCAAGCTATGAGGCTGTCCCAAGGGTGGTAATTTGTATTCGTAATGCAAGAGAGAAGAATGCTCTTTAAAGACTAATTGATTTGTGCCTCCTTACTTGAATTACAAGAAATTTCGATACAGAATAGGTAACTTTTATTTTTCCCAGATATATGACAAAAGTTAATATTTCAGTTCAAATACCTTTTCTGAATTCTGCAGAATCATATTTCACAAAGTTATTTCCCCTGATGTCTTTCTTATTCTACATTTCTATGTTTTCCAGCACAGACCTGTGGAATCATCTTTGTTGGTGGGCATATGGTTTTAAACAGAGGGACCATTTTGCCTTTTTTTCTCACTCTCAGAAATATTTAGGTGCTGATGACTAGTAACAGATAAGATTACAGAACTGTACAGAGGGAGTGGGCAGCTTATATACTTGTTTCATGTCTGCCTACCTCCAAAATCTGAAAAGCTGTATGTTTTATTCCCTGAGACAGTAGGCTTTCTTAGAAGTCTGTTCAAAGAGGCAGGCATTTGATATCAGCCCTACATGGTTAGGTTGAGATAAAATGTAATCTAACTTATTCAGAATAATAATAATAATACCTCACATTCCAAGATCATTTGTAAGGAAAGCAGGATTATGGTGGCAAAAGCTACTTTGTCAAACTTTAAAGCACTAGAGAAAGGAGAATTGTATTGATTGATATGCAATTCACAAGATGCTCTCCTCATGACAAATCTGTGACATCAGCAGTACAAGCATCATTGTCCCTACTTCATGGAGGAGGAAATGGGCTCAGATCTAGGAAGGGGCTTCCTCAAGGACACACGACTTAGCTGGGAATGGAGCGCCAATCCCTTCTGATTCTCGTTCCAAATCCAATGTCCCTCCCTCAAAACCACAGTGACCTCCTGAGTGTGAATCATGCTGTTATGTACTTCTGGATGGTCTGCAGATTTGTTTGGATTTGTTTGGTGTGTATAGACATTCTTTAAAAAAAAAATGGAATCATGTGGGGCTGCTAAGTGGCTCATAGAGCTCCAGCCTTGGAGTCAGGAGGACCTGAGTTCAAATCCGGCCTCAGACACTTGAAACTTACAGCTGTGTGACCGTGGGCAAGTCACTTAACTCCGATTGCCTCACCCAAAAAAGAATCATAGATTCAGAGTTGGAAGGGATTGTGGGGATCATCTAGTCAACCCTACTCACTTTCCAATGAAAACTGAAGCCCAGAGAGATAAACCCATTTGCCTAAGATCACACAGGTAATAAGTCATAAAGCTGGGATTCAAACCAAGGTTCTCTGATTCCAAATCTGGCATTTCCACTAAACTTTCAAGGTTTTTTCCCCCTTCTGTTTATTTGCTTTTACTTGCTTTCTTTGTAGCCACTATAATAACTTCGGCTTTGGTGCTTAACAAAACGAATTTAATTTCACACATACTGCCCATTGTGCTACTGCTATCATCTTTCATTTTTGTAAAACTTTATCCTTGACTGTGTACACACATTTCACACACATATTCTCATGGATCCTTAAAATGTTCCTATGTGACATAATAGCTCCTATTTATTTGGCAATAATAATAACTAAGCATTTCAGCAGGGTTTCCCAAAAGTCTTAGTGTGGTTTTAAGGCTTAAAACTGTACTAAGACTTAATCAATGAAAGTGACATTAAAGAAGATGCATTACCCTCTGCTTTGCACTTATTTTTAAACCTTAAATGCTTGTGGTTTATAAAGCACTTTACATATGTTATCTCATTTAAAAAATTTACAGAATGCTTTCCATGTAAGAATCCTGCGATGTAGGTGGTAAAATGTTATTATCCTCATTTCACAAGTATGAAAAATGAGGCATCTTGGAGGTCAATGGACTTACCTCTGGGTGTAAAAATAGCTAGTAAATGTTAAGGCAAGGAATACCTGAATCCTGTCTCTGAGGCTGGCTTTCAATCCACTTTGCCATGCTCCTTCCCATTGATTTACACACCCCATTTTCCCCCAACAGTCATGTGGGCCAGATGGTGTTAGTATTACCATCCCTATTTTATAGGTTGAATGGCTTGGCCAAGGTCACCCAGGTAGTTAGTGGTAGAGCTGGGAGCTAGACCAGGTCACCACCCTCCAAGCTCATAATATTTTTCTTTAGGCTGCTTAGCTTCTAATTAATTCATACTTTTTAAAAGGCAAAGAGGTGCTAGGCATTCTCATCTTATTTGAACTATAGCATTCCTTGAATTGTTAGGGAGGATAAGCCCCATAAGGAATTTAGGAGACAAAGCGCTTTCAGCCACCTGGGCTTTGTCGTTAGTCAGGACAGATGAAAGAGAGAAAGAGGAGGTATTATGGTTAACAAAAAATAGTAAAGGTTTTTACTTTTCTTGTCTAATTTATTTCTAATAGTTCAAGAGCAAGAAACCTCCTGTAGCATCTAATGGGGTCCCAGGGAAAGGGAGAAATGTCAACAGTCCACAAAAGAAAATGGACTCATCGGCCACTGTCAAACGGACAGCATCAAGTAAGTTTTCCAAGGTGCCGCTCTTTCTGCTTGGGGAATTAGTGGTAAGACTGGTAGAGACCTTCTGTAGGTCTTAAGGTTGACTGATGCTCGTACTTCTCTGACTAGAGTCATAAACACCACTCTGGAAGGCACTTAAAGGTCATCTTAGCCAACTTCTTTTATTTAATAGAGGAGGAAACAGGCCCAGAGACCCTGATTTCCCCAAGGTCATAAAACAAGTTAGTGGCAGAGCCAGGATTAGACTGTGTGTCTCCTACTTCCTGGTCGAGAGTTCTTTCCAAGTCTGGTTTAAATAATGCCTAAAGAGGAAGAAACACAATATTACTTTTCATCTCACATCGAATAACAACTAAATGACCTAAGTACTTTTGCAACTCAGGATCAATTCATTGCAGTTCAACAGACAAGCACTATGGTACACTGGGAACACAAAAATGAAAACTGACATACTTCTTGCCCTCGAGGAGCATAGGATCTATTCGAAAACTGGAACTTATATACAAAGATAAATATGATATGCATCAGGGAGATGAGAGGTCAAAAGAGCAATCCAAGAAGAGGGCTCAAGTAAATTTTAGAGGTGATTGTGGAAAATGTGGTGTTGGGTTGAACTTCGAAGAAATGAAAGGATTTTGCTTGGCAGATATGCACATTCTACTCATGGAGAAAGCCTGTGCTAATGCAGGAAAACTAGGACAGTTGAGACAAAGTCAAGGCACAGCTAATAGCCCTGTTTGGATGGAAGAGCATAATGTATAAGTCTTGGAAGGGAAGATGGAACTGGACTACAGAAGGCCCTCAATGCCATTCCAAAGAGTTTCTCTTTTGTGACAAAGTCAATGGGAAGCCTCTTGATTATTATTATTTTTTTAAAATAAACAAAGTTACTGGCTTAGACTTGGACCTTAACAAGATAACTGGTAGGTGTTTACGGGATACTTTTGGCAGCACAGTGGATAGAACTATGTACTTGAGGTCTAGAGGATCTGAATTCAAATATGACTTCAGAATCTGGGCAAGTCATTCAAACTTTCAGCCTCAGTTTCATCATCTGTAAAACAGGAATAATAATAGCAATAATAATAATAATAATAAGAAGAAGAAGAACTCTATCTCATAGGGTTCTTATGAGGACCAAATGAGGTAACATGTGTTAATCATTTTGCAAACCTTAAAGTGCTACATAAATTCTAGATGTTACTTTGGCCCTTATTGTAGAGAGGAGAGGCTGAAGGTAGGGAGACAACATAGGAGGCTATTGCAGCAGTCCAGGGAAGAGAAGAAGTGGATGTGATCTAGATTGGTGGCAATGAGTATGAACAAGTTAGGTTCAAGTGATGTGGAGGCAGAACTGGAAAAAGTTTGAAAACTAAATAAATGTGAATTTTATGGGAGAGGGATCCCAGAATCATAGATTTAGAGTTGGAAGGGGCATCTGTAGCCATTGTGTTTCATGCTTAGGGAGGTGAAATGCTTGCCTGAGGTCACACAAGTTAGGTAGTGTGTATTGGAGGCAGGATTTGAATCCAGTTCCTCTTACTCCAGAGAAGAATCAAAGATTATTGCAAGAATCTGGGGGCAGCTAGGTTGCACAATGGATAGAGTACTGGTCCTAGAGTCAGGAGGACATGAATTCAAATCTAGCCTCAGAAACTTACTGACTGTATGACCTTGGGCAAGTCACTTAACCTTGATTGCCTCTTCCACTTGTGATCCTTCCCCCTTAAAAAAGATTCTGAATCTGGTAACTAGGAAGGATGATGGCACCATAAACAGAGATAAGAAAGTTGGGAGGAGGCATAGGTGTTTAACAGAAAAGATGAAGACATCAGCTTTGGCATGTTAAATTTGAGGTTTTGGCCAAAGAATCAGGATGAGATGTCCAGCAGGCTGGTAGAGGTGCTGAACTTGAGCCCATGGGAGAGATTCAGTTAGCTGTATAGATTTGAGAATCACCTGTATGAAAGTGATAATTGAACTAATGGTGATGAAGTCACCAATGAATGGACAGAAAAGAATTTATTAAGTACTTACCAAATGCAAAGTACTATGCTAAGTTGTTGTTCAGTCATGTCTGACTATTTGGGGTTTTCTTGGTAAAGATAATGGAGGGTTTTGAGATTTCCTTCTTCAGCTCACTTTACAAATGAGGAAACTGAGGCAAACAGGGTTAAGTGACTTACCCAGGATCACACAGGTAGTAAGTTTCTGAGGCCAGATTTGAACTCAGGGAGATGAGTCTTTCAGACTTGGAGCTCTGAGCTCTATCCACTCTATCCACCTAGCTGCCCCTATTATGCTAAGATATAAACAAAACCGTAAGACAGTTAGTTCCTTGCTCTCAAAAACTCACATTCTAAAAAGAGGAGACAATATAGGAGATTCCTACTTTAAGTCAATTGGAAAGGACCCAGAGTCCTTAGGGGATAAAGCAGATGGTAATACATCTTCTTTAATGTCACTTTCACTGATAAAACCATGTCTGTTTTAGATGTTGAAGCATTTGACAGTGACAATGACTTTGGTGGTATCAACTTTTTCTGAGTCTTCATTAGTTATGGTTGTCCACATAAGGAGGGGGAAAAAATGTCTAAGACAAAGTACTGGGGAGCCTACATCTTTTATGGGTCAAAGCAGAATGAGAAACCACTCAGTTATGGAAACCAAACATGTGACCAATAAGTTTATCAGGCATCTGATTGGGCTAAATTATTTTTGTCCTATTTTTTTTTTAACAAGGTGACAGTTTGTTTTGTAATTTCCTTGTTATAATATTGGTTCCACTAAAGAAAGAATGTGCTTATACAACCAGGAAATATGTATTGTCCCCACTACCCACCTTTAATTTTGTGTTCATGGTTCATTGCGGGGAAGAGGAGAAAGAAAATAATGAGGACTAATGGGTTCCTTAAAAAGCCACGTTATACAAGATCTGTATCATTTGAAATCGCTGCCTCTGTCTCTTTTCCTACAGTGCCTTGGTTTCGATACTTGTATTTCTTTTATGGCCAGATGATTTATCCCTTTATTTTATGATGCCTTCTGTGGGGAATTTTTATTAACTTTGGTGACATCTAATGGTGACAAAAGAGAAAAATAATTGCTTTCTACGTTTTCGCTGAACTCAACCCGTTACGTTACCCACATCGTGGGTTTATTGCAAGGGGAGCCGAAAGGAGGGCTGGAAATTTACACTCCCTTACATTGGCTTTGGCTATGAAAACGTCTTGTTTTAGAAAGAAGTGAAGCCAGGCAAATTCTTTCTTTTTCTCAAGATGTCCTTAGGCTGAACCATGAACAGCAATGCAGTCATTGAAGTGTTTTAGCTTAATTAGTCCACTGTTTGATTCTAACTCTCTGTGTTTTACAGAAGCTTCCATATGAGAATGGGGGCTCCTTAAGAGGAGGGCTGTCTACACTTTTCTATTTGTATCTCTGGTGGTTAGCACATAATACTTTACAGGTTATTTCCCCATTAGATTGTAATCTCCTTGTGGGCTGAGATTATGTTTATTGTTTGGTTTTATTTTTGTTGTTTTTGTAAACCAGTGCTTAGCAAAGGCAGCTAGGTGGCATGATTACAGAATGCTGGGCTGGGAGTCAAGAAGACTTGAGTTCAAATCTAGCCTCAGACACTTGCTAGCTATGTGACCTTGGGCAAGTCACTGAAGTCTGTTTGCCTCAGTTTCCTCATCTGTAAAATGAGCTGGAGAAGGAAACGACAATCCACTCTAGAATCTTTGCCAAGAATGCCCCAAATGGGGTCACAAAGAGTTGGACTTGACCGAAACAACTGAACAACAACCAAGCTTAGCATAATGCCTGGCACTTAACATAGTAGGTACTTAATAGATGATTGTTGACTTGCTTTGCACACATAGTAAGCACTTAGTAAATCCTTTCTTATTCATTTACAGACTGCCAAAAGTGAAAGGGCTTTTAGAACATAGAATATTTGCAATGAAAATAGAATGTCAGAAGTAGAGTGGGACCTGAGAACATAAGATATTAGCATTGAAGGGTGCCATAGAAACCACCTAGACCAACCATGTTACTTTACAGATGGGAAACATAGTTGAATCAAGTTACCTAAACTCACACAGCTAGTTAATATCAAGACAAGAGCTAGGGGCAGCTAAGTGGCATGGCGGATGGAGCTCTGGCCCTGGAGTCAGAAGGACCTGAGTTGAAATTTGGCCTCAGACACTTGACCCTTACTAGCTGTGTGACCCTGAGCAAGTCACTTAACCCCATTGCCTAGCCAAAGAGTAAAGAAAAAGACAAGAACTAAAGACTAGGTTTTTTGGTTGTCAGGCCATCCCTCATGTCCATGGAAGTTTGCTGAGTTTGTGAGTCATTAACTTTGCTTGAAATCATCCTTACAATTATCTGTGGTTACTAAAAAGAACATTGGATTTGGAATAAAAAAAACCTTGGTTCAAAGCCTGGCTCATCCCACTCACTATATATGTGACCTTGAATAAGTTGGTTAACATCTCTGCTCCTCCTGTAAAAATGAAGATAATAACCCCTGCCTACCTCACTGGGTTAAGGAACAAATGGGAGAACTCAAGGAAAGTGTTTGGTGGTGATGGTGGTTGTTTTGTGCGCAGTAAAGCACTAGATTACATGCTTCCTACTATCTTTTTCTTTAAGTTTCACAGAGTGTTTGAGTGGATACCTTAGGCTGAAGTTCAAGCACAGATAGTTCTTGTCTCTTACATCAGCCTAGAGGCCTCTTTAGTTTGGTGCAAATCAGACAGTCCTTGAAAGGTCACAATGATGAAGAGGAGGCTAACAACAAGGCCACCTCATTAGTGCTCTCAAATAGACAACCCTGAGCAGTGATTCTTATCCCCATTTCTAAATAAGGTTGCATTATAAAGGCAACACTGATGAGGGAGTGAGGAATCAGTGCCTTTGATAACTGAGTTGTAGGAGATTGGAGGCCCCCTCACCTTAAAGGCAGGGACTGTCTATTTCTGCTCTATTTGTACCCCCCAGTGCTTAGCAGAGTCTGGTATGTAGTAAGTGCTTAATAAAGGCTTCTTGACTTGACTTGTCAAAGACAGCTCTGCAGGAATATTGCCTCTGCTACTTGCTACCCGTGTGACTTTGGACAGAAAGCTCATATTTTCATTGAACATTCATATGGTTTTTACTGCAGAAAGTGAGAGATTCACTTTGCTAGATACTTATTCCGCCCAACTGAGCAGTCCGTGTATAGACTAGGCATTGTACACATAATGGAACATCTAGCATTAAGCCCTCTTTTTTAAATTTAAACTTATTTTATATTCCCAAGGATTAATGCAGTGCCTGGTATGAAGTAAGCACTTAACAAAGGCTTATTCACTGACTGATTTTTCATTTACCGGGCATTTATTTTCTCTCCTGTCCTCCCCTCTCCCAATTTAAAGAAAAAGAAAAACAAACTCCCCCCCAATGTAAATATGCATAGACTTTTCTTATTGCAGTGTTCCATGGAGTTTTATCAAAATGGCCAGGACTAATTATTATGGTTTCTCTCCCTCAAGTCTCTCACCCCACTCCGGCCCATTTTCTACATTGCTGCTGGAGTAATTTTCCTTAATTGCAAATCTAACCATGTGACTCCCTTATTCATTTCAGCCCCAGTGGCTTCCCATTGCCTCTAGGATAAAATGTAAACTCCTGTGTCTAGTTTTTAAAGCCTCATACAACCTGGCCCCTACCTGTCTTTCTTGAACATTACTCTACGTCCTGTACCTTGCGATCCAGCCAAACTTCCTTCCTTTGTGCTCCTCGCATGTGATATGGCGTCTTTCATCTGCCTGCTATTGCACTGTCCATCCTCCATACCTAGAATTCACTGCTTTCTTCCCTCTTCCTCCCAGCCTTTCATTAAGACTTGTCTGAAGTTCTGTCTTTTGCATGAAGCCTTTCATGAGCTTTCCAATGTCTAGTGCCTTCCCTCTAAAAACGACTACTCTGTATTGAACTACTTTCTATGTATTTCTGTTTATTCACTTTGTGCTGTAAAATATATACATTTAGTTATCTCTCCAGTTAGAATGCAAGCTTCCTATAGAGATTATTTCATTTATTCATTCTCTAGTTTATACCAGTGCCTCACACGGTTTGTTGCTATTCAATCATTCAGTCATGTCTGATTCTTTGTGACACCATGGACCATGCTGTCCATGTGGTTTTCTTGGCAAAGATTCTGGAGTGGTTTGCCATTTCCTTCTGTAGTGGATTAAGGCAAACAGAGTTAAGTAACTTGACCAGCATCATACAGCTAGTAAATGTCTGTCTGAGGCCTGGTTCAAACTCAGGTGTTTCTGATTCCAGGCCCATCTCTCTATCTACTGAGCCACCTAGCTGCCTCCTAGGCAAACTGTGGTTAAATGACTTGCCCAAGGCCAAACAGTTAATAAGTATCTTATCCCAAATTTGAACTCAAATCTTCTTGACTCCAGTCCTACCACTCCATCCACTGAGCCCTCTAGCTTGTTGATTGGTTGATAATTAGGCCATATGTTGCAGTATTAATAGAGAAAGATTAAAAATAAAAAGATCTGGGCTTATTTCCTGACTCCACTACTGAACCGCTTAGGTGAGCTTGGAGAACCCACAGAGTTTAGTGGAAAGAACATGGGATTGGAAGTCAGAAAGCTTCAGCTCACATCTTGTCTTAGCCCAGGTCTTATGTGACCATGCTAAGTGTGCATGATGCATCGTGCTCATCTATTTTCTCCATTTGTAAGAGGTAACAGGTGGAGTAAATGTGTGACTTTTTAGTTCCCTACCATTTTTAAACCCTCAAATCCTAGGCCCTAAATTATTTCTCAGTGGGCTTTACCATCTTTGACTTCCTTGGGGTATATGCTTAGTACTGAGATTACAGGGTCCAAAGGTATGAGCATTTTAGTCCCTTTTCTTATGTAATTCTAGATTTTCCAGAAATCTAATGCCCTTGTTTTACAGTTAAGGGAATAGTAACTTAGAAAGAGGAAGTGACTTTACCAGAGTCACACAGCTTAGAGTTATGACTTGAATCTATATCTTCTGAATACAAATTCATCATGCCTTTTGGACTTGTAGCCCACAGACTCCTTTCTCTCTCTCCAGAGCAGCATGCTTATTGTCTGGTTTGAAATGTACATTGTAAGGAAGTTAGAACCCAGAGACCTTTACTCCAGTGTAGATTATTCTAGATCTTAGTTTAGATTTGATTCAAGGAATTTGGGAGCATGCGAGTCAGTCACCTCACACTCTTAGTATAAACTCATCCTTTTGTGTATATTTGGCTTATGTAGAACCTATGGAAAAAAAAAAAAGTCCATCTCTTCAAAATGTCTGCCCAAGCAAGTTCCAAACTACCCTGACATCTACTGAATTAAGTATAATTGACTATTTTCATTTTTTCCCTAAGATGCTGACCAGTACAAATATGGGAAGAACCGTGTAGAAGCAGATGCTAAGAGGTTGCAGACCAAAGAAGAAGACTTGCTAAGGAAGAAAGAAACTCTGCGTAACCGCCTGGCTCAGCTTCGAAAAGAAAGGAAAGATCTTAGAGCAGCCATTGAAGTGAATGCTGGTATGAAAAAATTCAATTTGATTGGCCTTAGAATGCTGTTAGAATTCTTGATCCCCCATGTTTCATTTCCTCTTGGTTTAAAATATCTCAAACCCAACAAGGCACTCTTCTTATAAGGATGTCAGATGGCCACTCTGATTTCGGTTGCATGGTTGTTTAGCAAAGGATAAAGACCAGTGCAGTGACGTGTTACCTACTAGTTTAATAAGAACAATGATAATGATTCATATGTAGTATTTGCAGAAGCAAGATTTAGATATTGGAAACTGAAGTTTTCTATTATCTCTTGCCTCCCTGTCCCAGAAGATGGTTTATATCATCTTAATATTTTTGATACCAAAATGATTGATACCAAAACTTAATGTTAGAAGACATCTGAGGAAGGAGAGATGAGTATAGGATTGAGCAGCCAAAGAAGGCTTTATAATGAGGGCAAGGGTGGAGTTTTGAGGATGAGTACTTGAACTTAAGACTTGATTTACTATTATTGGACTGGCATTACTGTTACCAATTACAATATCAAAGAAATTTGTCAGGGTTCTGGGCTTAATAAGGAAAATGTAGAATTTTTTCTCTGCTTTTTGTAGGAAGTGATAGTAGGAATGGTAGAAAACCTCGAGTGATTCATTTAACAAACATTTGTTTTATGCTTAGTTTGTATAAGACACTGAGTTAGGTACTAAATATGGAAGCTAGATGGGGTATACAGAGCTGGGTCAGGAGTCAGGAAGACTTGAGCCTAAATCAGGCCTCAGACACTTCCTAGCTGTGTGACCCTGGGCAAGGCAATTAACCTCTCTTAGCCTCAGTTTCCTCATCTGTAAAATGGGCATGGTAATAATAACACCCATTTCCCAAGGTTTGTTGTGAGGATCAAATGAGATAATATTTGTAAAGGGCTTAGTACAGTGCCTGGCACATAGTAGACATCCAATAAATGCTTCTTTTTCTAATGATCCTATTCTCAGGAAGCTTATAATCTCAAGGTAGAGAAAGACTTACATATAAATAGCTGATATAGAGAGGGTGAGATAAGTGCAAAGGAGAGATCTGAACAAGGTACTCTGAGATATTTGAGGACAAAGTAATGGCTCTCATGGGATGGAGGAGGGGGACAAGTGGGGAAGATGCTCTTATTTTAGGGATTCTTCACAGTAAAATGGGACGATGTTTACTTCACCTACCTCATAGGGTTTTCATGTGGTACAGGAGAGAGTGATTACTTAAAGTCCAATACAAGTGCTGATTAGTGTTTGTTGATGTCTTAAGGCTAGTAAGATTGCTCCTGAAGGATCTGAGAGAGGAAGAAAAGCAGAGAAACTATCTGTAATTAATAGACAGTCATTGAAGGGGACTGGGCAAATGAAAGAAAACACCAGTCATTCCTGAATATGTAATTAGGGGTCATAAATCCAGAACTGGAAAGGATCCATGTTTCCTTCTGGCAAACTGTACTCCAATATAGTTTGAGCACCAAAGTCCCGGAATTATGCAGGAGGGGAGGGAGCTATATATTTATTCTAGTCATTTTCCATAAGAGGAAACTAGAGCATGGAGAGAGGGAGTGACCTGGTCTAAGATTTGTTGTTGTTGTTCGGTTATTTCAGTCATGTTCAACTCTTCGTGACCCCACCTGGGGTTTTCTTGGCAAAGATACTACAGTGGTTTGCCATTTCCTTCTCCAGCTCATTTTACAGTTGAGTCCACTGAGGCATACAGGGTTAAGTGACTTGCCCAGGGTCACACAGCTAGGAAGTGTCTGAACTAAGGTCTTCCTGACTCCAGGCCCAGAGCTCTGACCACTGAGCCACTTAACTTCCCCCTGTCTAAGATTAGACTCAGAGTTAATGGCAGGGTGAGAACTCAAGCCCCTTCCTTCTTTCTTCTAGTCCAGTGATCTTTTCACTACATCAGGCTCTCCATATTCTAGAAAATAAGACTTTGTTCCACAACTTAAGAAACGTTAAGATGACATAGACCTGGTCATTGGCTTTAACAGAGAAACTTTTTTTTTAATCCACCTTTGAACCTGATTTCAGAGGTCGTTTTCTTTTTGCTTTTGAAAACCTTTGCCTGATATTGAAAGAATGCTGTTTTCTCTGGGTTCTAGGCAGGAAGACCCAAGTTATTCTAGAAGATAAGCTGAAGAAGCTGGAAGAGGAATGTAAACAGAAGGAGACAGAGCGTGTCAATCTGGAGTTGGAACTCACAGAGGTCAAAGAAAGCCTCAAGAAAGCCTTGGCAGGGGGGATCACACTGGGTCTAGCAATTGAACCCAAATCTGGAACCTCAAGTCCCCAGGTAATCTCTCATGCCCCTTACAGACAGTAGCTGTTGAGGTCATGTTTAGAAAGCTGCCATGTCAAGAATAATTATTTTTATCACCATTGTTATTAATATTAATTATACTTACAATTATATATTATCATAGGATCATAGGTTTGGAGCTGGAAGGGACCTCAATGACCATCTCATCCGACCTCCTAATTATGAGGAAATTGAAGCTCAGAAAGGTGTAATTTGCCCTGGTCACACAAGCATTGAGTGCCTGAGGCAGGTTTTGAACTCAGGTCTTCTGACTCCAAAGCCCCTCTTTCCACTGTTATCATACCGACTCTTTATTTCAGTGAAATAATACTTATTATTTTTGCTATTTGAATAATAAATCACATTTCTAGAACATTTTAAGGTTTACAAAGCTCTTTCCTTTCAAACTTTTGAAGGAGTTAATAGAAATATTATTATTCCTAATAATTTTACGTAAGAGGAAACCATTTTACAAAAGATGAAACTAGAGCACAGAGAGTGGGAGTGACCTTGTTTAAGATTCGACTCCAAGTTAACAGTAGGGCAAGAACTCAAACCCTTTACTTGTTTCTTCTAGTCCAGTGATCTTTTTGCTACATCAAGCTCACTGTATTCTAGAAAACATAGATGATATAACTGAGTCTCAGAGACTAGTCAGATAACTAGTATTGGGGCCAAGAGTGGAAACCAAATATTTTGACTCCAAGATCAGTGCTCCTTTCACTAACCGTCTTTCTCTTTGATGACTTTCAGGCACTGAAATGCAGCTAGATTAATTTATTTACTTCACTTTGGGAAGGGTTTTGGACAGACTGAGGGGAAATAGGGGGAGGAATATGTAAGGAGGACAGGCCATTATGTATAATATACATGCCATGTACCATATGCTAAGCCTTGAGTTTTTATTTCTTTGTTTTATGCATAGATACTTTTTTTTAAACCTCTTATGAGACTGGTCCTAGATTTAGACCTCAAATAAACCTGACTTAATAAGAGAAAATGTCAAGAGTAATTAATGAAAGCTAAAAAAATATCATTCACTCTTCTCTATCATAACCTATATGGGATGAGGATATCTTCTAATGGCCTTCCATATTGGGTTTCCTGAAGGGTGATTTAAAGAAAGCGCTTCCCAATCTTCCTGAGTTTCTCCCCTATCCTTTTTTCTTCTTCTAGCAGAGGAAATGAAAGCCAGGTTGTCATTTGGAAGGATAGTATTAAGATGTATTGGCCGGTTTTCCTCTCACTTATTCATATTTCATTAATTCCTCTTCCTTTTGGATTTCCTATCTTTTTTTTTCCTTGTCTATTGGTCTCTATCACTGCTCTGGCCTTTGCCACGATCAGTCCCTATAGACAGGGGAGCTTCTGCAGAATGGCTGCAAATAAAATTGGTGTTGACCTAGCTGGACCTCCATGGGGTCACTGTGGCCAGAACAGAGCAGTTCTAGAGCATCAGAGACTCACATATCATCTATTGATGCCTTCTTTCTCTTATCTTCTTTTAACCTTGTAATCATATATTGTGATTATGTAGTATAATCATTAGCATGGAGTCATGTATAAAAGTGATGGATTTGGATTCAGAAGACCTGGTTATGAATCCCAGCTGTCTTGCTTGTTATCTAACCATTTCCAAGTAACTTCAACCCTCTGGGCCTTAGTTTCCTCATTTGTACAATGAGGGGTTGGTTTAAATGATCTCTAATCTCTCTTCTAGCTCTGGCCCTTGTGATTTGGTAGCAACTTATTGACTTGCTCAGCTGACATCTTTGCCTGGGAAATGTGTAGAGGGAGGACAGGGTTTGGGGGGAAGGATTCTTCCACCACCTGGTTACAACTATAACCATGATTTGAAAAAATTTTGGGTGGTAAGTGAAAATAAGCACATCCATGGTATTAGTGAGTTCTTGGGGAACTTAGAGCCACCTGGTTTAATAATGATTAGAATACTGTTCTGCCAAAGAACATTTTAGAGTCTGAGGCTCGCATTTAAATGAATTAAAGATTCTCTTAGGAATAATAATAATAAGAAGAAATATTTGTAGAGTTTGAACCTTTAATTCTTAGGAGATCACAATTGGGAAACCGTAAAATCATAAATGCTTCCTACAGAGGGATTAATCAGTTACTAATGTTGGGTAGGGCAGAGAGGATTGGTAATAGGTAATCATGGTGGCCACAGCCTATAAGGATATTTTTTGTAATGGCTCACTTTTGTGTTTGTCACCCATAAAATATCTTTGAATACAGGTAGGCATCTCTGTTAATTGTGGGTAGACAGATGAACAGACAGATATCATATACTAAATCCATCCTTAGTAGAAACATGGCCACTCAAGATGACTGAATTCCACAAGTGATATCCAAGTGTAGTACAATTGAAAGATGCCTGGATTGGTAGTAACCAGGACTATGAATCTGGATCTGCTGCTTGCTATCCAAGTTACCTTAGGCAAGTCACTCTTTGGGTTTCTGTTTGCCTATATGTAAAGTAAGGGTATTGAATTAACTGTTCCCTAAGGAACAAGTTTCTATGCTCTGTGATTTAATTCTCCAAGACTGTTGCCAGGCATCGTTGTTCTTAGTCTCTCATCTAAGTGAATTTTCCAGACAACAAAGGAAGAAAGTACATATGAAAGTAGGAAGAATTCTAGAAATAATGTAGCATTATTATTTTAATTTTTTCATAGTGCCATAAAGTTTTGAGCTGAGAATGTTTTTAGAGAACATTTAGTACAAGTCCCTCATTTTTACGGTGAGGAGACTGAGGCCAAGAGAGGAGGTAACTTGCCCAAGGTCATGCAGATAGTAAGTGAAACCAGGTTTCAAACTCTGTTCTTCTGACTCCAAACCCAGTTCTCTTTTCATTGGATCATGCTGCCTCCCAAGAGCCATTTTCTACTTTAAAATAAAACTTGCTCCTGGAAAAATAGAGACCCTCAGGAAACCATGCCTCACGTGGGATTTTCATTCTCTGTGCTGTCAGTCTCCAATTTTTAGGCACCGAACTCTGGAAAATTCTCCCATCTCAAGTTGTGACACCAGCGACACTGAATGTTCAATGCCAGTGAACAGCGCGGCAGTTCTGAAGCGACACCCACCGACATCTGGCAACTCTCCTTGCCGGGGTCATGTCCTTAGGAAGGCAAAGGTGAGAGACCTCTGGCTTTATCAGAACCATCAGGATTGGCAAAAATAGAGCCTTCCTGCTCCCCAAAGATCCTGTAAGAAGACATAAGGGTTTGGCCACAGTCTCTGTCCTTGAGCCACCTCTAGACCTCCAGATGAGTCAGGGTAATTAGAGATTTTGCACTCAAAGAATGATGTGGGCCTAGACTGTGCATACTATATATTTATTTTTATGTCTTTGAAGCTGGTAATGTGAAAATAATGATCCAAAATGGCACAGTGGGAGGAGGAATGAGAGTCAGGAAATTTGGGTGCTTGGCTTAGCTCTTTCTCCAGCTGGCTCAGTGGCTTTGGGCAGGTCAATCACTTCCTCTCTCTGGTCTCAGTTTCTAAAACTCTAAAACATCATTACCGTACTAGGTAGGACTCTAAACTCTACTATTTTTGTCTTAAATTTTTTTTTTCAATTAATAAGCATTTATTTTCTCTTCCTCTTACCTCCACCCTTCCCTCCACTGAGGAAAAAAATAATAAATAAAACTCTTGCAAGAAATACACATAGTCAAGCTAAAGAAATTCCCACATTGTCCTTGTACAAAAATATTGTCTCATTCTGTACCTTGAGTCCCTCATCTCTCTATCAGGATGTTTTATCACTGGTCCTCTGGGATCATGGTTGGTCGTTTTATTTATCAGAGTCCTTACATCTTGCAAGGTTATTTGTCTTTACTATGTGTTTTTTATTGTATGACTTGTTCTCCTGATTCTTCTCACTTTATCCTACATCAGTTCAGCCAGGTCTTCCTAGGCTTCTCTGAAATGGAGTGATTACATTGATATGCCATAATTTGTTCATCCATTCCCCAATTGATGGGCACTCTGTAAGTTTTCAGCTCTTTGTCTCTATAAAAAGTGCCTTTTTAAATATTTGTATACATATGGGTCCTTCTCTTCTTTCACTGTTCTCTTTGGGATATAGACCTAATAGAGTTATTTCTGGATCAAGGGGTATAGACAGCTTCGTGATGTTTTGTGAATAATTCCAAATTGCTTTCTAGAATGAGAAGTCTTAATAAATAGCTCCACCAACAGTACAATAATGGACCAGGCCTTCCAACCTTTGTCATTTTCCTTTTTTGTCAACTTTGCTGATGCGATGATATTAGATGAAACTTTGGAGTTGCTTTAATTTACATTTCTCTAATTATTAATTATTTGGAGCATTTTTTTCATATCCCTATTGAATGCTTGGATTTCTTTTTTGAGAACTGCCTATTCATTTCCTTTTGACCACTTGTCAATGAGAAAATTGCTCTTATTCTTAAAAATGTGAATCACTCCTAATTCCTTTCTAATCTTAGATGCATGTTTTATTTGTACAAAAACTTTTAAAAATTCATGTAATCAAAATTCTCTAGTATATTTTCTGTGGTCCTTTCTGATCTTTATTTGCTTATGAACTTCTCTTTAATCCATGGATGTGAAAGGTAATTTCTTCCTTCCTCTTCTACTTTGTTTGTGATGTGACCTTTTATATCTAAGCCATACATCCATTTGGAACTTAGATATTTTTCTAAACCTAATTTCTGCCAGACTGCTTTCCACAGGATATCTATTCAGCTAGAGATTGGACTTAATGAGGTTTTTTCCAGCAAAAAGATTCTGTGATGTACTTGTGGTGTCTTCTCCTTTATCCCTGTCCTACTCTGGGGTGGTCTTTGGGGACCGTTTTAGATCATCTTCCCTTTTTGCTCTACCAGATCTCCCTAAACAATCTTACTTGCTCGTTCTAACATCATCTAAGTAGACCTTGCATTTGTAGATAACTTAGTGCATATTTTTAGACCAGTCATGTTAGACTCAAACAGGAATGGATCCCTGTGGGCAGCATATTGACTTAGAAAACCACAAATTAACATTATCTACATTGTATTGTATTTATGCATTTATTACATTTTAATCTGGTTTTGGTCATACTCTTTGCAGACGGAGCAAGATACCTCTGGTTTAAAGTATTTTCGTGTGCATTCTGATAGATGAATAATATACTTGGCCTAGGTGAATGATACCTTCCATTTTTTCAGAGTATGTTCTTGTTTTCAACAATGCTCTCCTGTTCACAGTACCCAGGAAAGTGAGGCAGGAGGAGTAGAGGAGATAAGGAGGGAGGTACTGTGTAGGATGCTAGAAAAGGCACTGGTTCTTGAGATACAGGGTCTGGGATCACATCCCTTCTCTGACCTCTCCACCTGGATGATTTGGAGCAGATTGCTTAATCTCTATAACCTTTAGACTCCTCATCTACAAAAAGAAGGGTTGGCCTATGTGGCTTCTGATTTCATAAGTGGGAAAACTGATTCTCAAAGGGGTAAAGTGAACTGTGTGAGGAAGGGACAATATTCTAACTCTGAATTGATTTCTCCCTTTCTGTATATCATCCCAGAGATCTGAAAAGGTCCTGCCACTTGAAGTTGAATAGATAGATAAATCTCTGTGCTTCTTCATTAATATAATACTATTTCTTAGGGGAAAAAATGTGTGTGTGTGTGTGTGTGTGTGTGTGTGTGTGTGTGAGAGAGAGAGAGAGAGAGAGAGAGAGAGACAGAGAGACTGTCTCTCTCTCTCTCTTTAAATACATATATATATATATGTATATATATATATGTATATATATATATATATATGTATGTATGTATGTATGTATGTATGTATGTATGTATATGTGTGTGTCTCTGTGTGTGTGTGTGTGTATCCAGAGACAGAAGACTGGATGTCCATAACTTGTCTAGGCTAAAGTATAGTAGCTACTTGTAGGCCTAATGCCAACATTGATTGGCATGAGAGTTTTGACCTATTCCATTTATGATCTGGGCTACTCTGCCCCTCTTTAGGCAGCCTGCTGATGCCCCTTTCTTGGAGGTTTACCATACTGATAGAGGACTTACTATGGATAACCACACACAGCTTAACCTACGGTAGCTCAGAACTCCTGAGCTCAAGCAATCCACCAACCTTAGCCTTTCCTGTAGCAGGGATCACAGGCCCAGGGAAGAGGAGGATTCTGATAGGGATGGCCACTAATTATGTTAGCAACGTTCTTTTCCAGAAAAAAATCTGGAAAAAAGAAAGAAAGGAAAGGAAAAAGATTTTTAAAAAGCCTCCCAATTTAACCATTTCCAGTTGATGTCAAAACAAATAGTACAGGATGATAGTCATTGAAAACATACTTGCCCATGTAAACCATGAGACATATGATTACATTAGTGGTAAAATCAGATTAATTTAATTTGTTCCAGTGAATGCCAGCCTTGGAGTTTTCACATCACTAACCCTATTAAACTCTCTAATTGATGTCATTATTTTTGCTGTAGAACAAATGTAATTCACATGACAGCCATTGGGGCCCATTCTGAATTGGCTGAATCTATGTATTTTCCTGAACAATGGAGTTGTTATTGGATAGAAATATGGGTGTTAACCACTGGCAAAATTCCTAGATTCTAATGTATTTCCTTGGAAAGTTCCCCGATCATTTTAGATATAAACAATCTCTGAAACATCTGGTGTTCATAGTGCCCTGCAGCTCTTCCCTCTAGATCATGTGTATTGTTAGACATTCAGGGAACCAGGATTGACGCTCTTACTTTCAACTGCCCTGCCCTGAAATCCTTACCTGGTCTAACCTGTGGCTCCTCTAACATTTCTCAGGCATATGTCCTTCCAGTGGATTGTGACATTTGTCTGGGATAAATGTTTAGAATAAGATTATGCTATGACACAATCTGTGCGATCGATAGCAAACAATAAATGTTCTCATGGTATTCCTTTTGGATTGCGAAGGCTGTTTCTGACTCAGAGATAACTATAGAAACTGAGGCGGACATCACTCTCATGACTTCAGTTTGTGAAGATTGATCTCAGCTGCCAGTAAAACAAAGCACTCCCAAAGGTTTCCATTTCCTTGGTCACCATCACTCTAGACCTATGAGGTTGTCACATTCTTATTCGTGCACGTGTCACAGCCCTATGATAGGTTTTAAGCTTCTTGGAAAGAAGGACTCTTGTTCTTCATCTTTGTAGCACCTATACCTCACACGGTGTCTTAAATATAACACATGCTCAATAAATGTCTGCTGAATCAATGAATTTTAAATCATACTCTATGTTGAAAGAATTGGATAAGGCCTTAGAATGCCAGAGCTGGAAGGAAACTTAGATGAGGTTATCTAATCCGACGCCGCCACTTTGCAGCTCAGAGAGGAGAAAGAACTTGCCCAAAGTCCCATTTCATGACTAGTAAATGTCTTTCACCCATATAAAATTCCCACTGAAACTCACATAGAAAAGGCTGTGTCTAGGAATCACAGAACTGTGGATTCTCACAGTTATAAGGGACTGAAGCCCTAGAATAATGCTAAGGCTTTATGGTATCATGGAAGGCACCCTCAATTTAGAATAGAAAGACCTAGTGAGTCTCGCCTCTGCCATTTTGTGCCTTTGTGGCCTTGGGCAAATCACTGATTCTCTTTGGGCCTCAGTTTTTTCTTATATAAAATGGGGCTACTAACACTTGCTCTACCTACCTCACAGGATTGTTGTGAGGATCAAATGAGATAATGTATATAAAACATAATATATATGTTATATGTATATATAATGTATATTGATAACTGTACAGAGCCATTGCAGAATCACAGTGTCAGAATTGGAGGGGGCCTGATCCAGTCACCCCCTTCTATAAACTGACGCCAAGAGGCAAAATCATACAGTTTAAAGCTGGGACTTCAGAGCACATTCATCTCCCCCCCCCACCATCCCCTTCCCCATTTCAAGGACATGCCTGTCTATTAAGTGGAAAAGCTGATTCGGAACTAGGTCTTTTGACACCGCATCCAGTACTCTTTCCATCACACATTACCTCCCCTACTAGTAGTAGCTGAACAAGAGCCTGCGATGTAGAAAGGACCTTAGATAAAGATGCCTGGTAGCATGAAATGGTCCAAAATTCTCAGGCTTATGCTATGTGGTGGTTAAAGTTAGGGGTGTAGAAATTTTTTGGGGGGTGTGGTGGGGTAGGGGACTCTAATCTTTTTCAGTTTTTGCCTCTTGGTTTATATAGCACTAGAAATGCTGACCCACAGAAGCCTAGATCCTAGGAAACTAGGTGAATCGTGTTCTCTGTCACCAGTGACAGATGCAACAGAAATCGATCAGGATATAGTGAAAGGAGTGCTTGATTTGGGATCACAGGACCTGTGTTTGCATGTTGGCTTTGCTACTTTCTAGCCATCCAATCATACATGAGTCTCTTAATCTCTTTGGGCCTGTTTTCTTCCTCAGTAGAGCAAAGGGCCCAGACCAGACTAGGTCCTCTTTGCAGTTACCTTCCATCTCTGAATCCTGTAGTCCTCTCAAGCAGATCCTTACCAAGGTCATAGGGGATGTTCAGCTGAGATGCTGCTGAATCCTCCGTGAGGCCTTGCCTCCTCTCCCCAGTTATGAGAGATCTCTGTCCCTCGTCATAATTTCTTAGAGGGCTTGGCATACCTCTCTATTTTGTTCCTACCACATTTTTCTTTTGCAAAGCCAGTTCTCTCACACCTTACTCCCCTCCACATTTTCTGTGATCCAGGGACACTGGCCTCCTTGCTCCGCTCCATTGCTGAGCTTTTCCCCTGGCTCTCCACCCTGCATGGAGCTCTCTCCCTCCTCATTTCTGCCTTTTGGCTTCCCTAGCTTCCTTCAAGTCTCCGCTAACACTTGTTAAGTATTTTCTATCTGCCAGACACTGGCACTAAGCTTGGAGATAAAAACAAAAGCAAAACAAAACAAAATGAAAAAGCAGTCTCTGTCCTCAAACCCACAGTCCAATAGGCAAACACAGGCAAACAGGTAGAAACCTAATATATGTAGGATAAAACTGGGGGATAATCTCTGAGAGAGAGCGTGAAGATTAAGGAGATCTGGGAAAGGTTTCTTGAAGAAGGTGGGATTTTAGCTGACTGTCTATGTTACATCCCTCACTCTCATATTAGACTATAAACTTCTATATTCTGGGAATTCCTACGTATCCCCAGAGCTTAGCACATAGTCTCGGACACTTAATAAGTGCTTAATAAATGTCAGCGGGTGTAATTGAATTAATATAGGGCCATGTGTATAGGCACTTACTAAGTATTATTTGAATAGTTGAATTTTATGACGTTGCATCAGAATTCTAATCAATACGTTGATTAATTTCCACTCTAGAGGACTGATGATGAACCATACTTTCCTCTTTATAGGAGAGAAGTGATAAACTAATGATTTGGAATGAACTATGGCATACTGTACTAGACGTTTTGGTTTGTTTTGCATTAATAATACTTCATTGTTAAAAGGGAAGGGATAGGGCAGTAGGATGTGACATTGATGTTTTTAAAAATGCATCCATGAGGTATTGGCTGAATGAGTTGTGGTATATGATTGTGAGGAATTACTATTGTGTTATACGAAATAGTGAGCAGGGTGGTTTCAGAAAAACCTGGAAAGATTTACATGAACTGATGCAAAATGAAGTGAGCAGAACCAGGAGAACATTGTACAAAGTAACAGCAACACTGTTCAATGATCGACTATGAATGACTTAGCTATTCTGAGAAATACAATGATCTACCAAGACATTTCTGAAGGACCTATAATGAAAAATGTAATCCACTTCCAGAGAAAGAATTGGTGGAATCTGAATACAGATCAAAGCATACAGTTATTTTGCTTTGCTTTTTTTCCCCTCGTTCTTTTTTTGTCTTTGTTTTCTTTCACAACATGATTAATGTGGAAATATGTTTTGCATGACTGCACATGTATAACTGTTATCAAATTGCTTGCCTTCTCAGTGATTTGGGAGGGAAAGAATTTAGAACTCAAAATTGTAAAAAATGAAAATTAAAAATTGTTTTTGGGGCAACTAGTTGGTGCAGTGGATACAGCATCAGCCCTAGAATCAGGAGGATCTGAGTTCTAATCTGGTCTCAGACACTTACTAGCAGTGTGACCCTGGGCAAATTACTTAACACCAATTGCCTAAAAAAATGTTTTTATGTGTTATTGGGAAAAAATACAATATTACAAATTTTAAAATGCAGCAATAAAGCATTAAAATAATTTAATCTATGGCTTACAATAAGTCTTGCAAATAACAGCCACTTAATAAATATGAACTGAATTCAATCAGTACTCTTAGTTCTTGGAATAATGATCTCTTGCCATGTGTTTTTGTTTCACTCTGTTTATTTCTCTAGGAATGGGAGTTGAAAAATGGGACATAAAGAGAATGGTGAAAGAATGAACCCACCTTTTAGAAGGCCTTACATCCTCTCATTCAAGACTCAGACAACAGGAGACTCAACTCGAAACGAGGCGTCAAGCAGCACAGCATCAGAGGTTTTGTAATTCTGCTCAGGTGCCAGTAGCTTGGCTCTCACTCCACTTGTACACTCTTTCTACTGTATATGGTGCCCTTTTTTTTAATGATTATTATTACTTATGACACTCTCATTTCCAACTTTGTGTAATGAAAAAAGCAAAATAAATCACACACACACAAAACACCCTAAAAAAGGAACAAAGATAAGTGACAGAAAAGGAGCAAAAGAATTGTAATGAGAAGGATTATGTCTAATTAAGTAATGACTTTCAACTGCCCTGGCTTAAATGGAACCCGATCACAGGAGTGTGAAGCCGGATGAGCCTGAGGCAAAATTCTCAGATTGGCATCTGCGGGAGTTTTGTAGTAGAACTGTCCCAGGTGAGGATGGCTCTAGGTGTGAGCCCGGATCTGATCCCTCGTGGATGGTCTTATTTGAAAAAGAGTGTCAGGAAGCATGTTGATCAATGTGATAGGACTGCTGGCATGAACTGAATGTCTGGTCCAGGAGATCCCTCTCCTCCCTCTCCCCCTCTCCCCTCTCTCTCCCCACCACCACTCCCCACCCCACATCATGCCCTTTCCCCCTAGTCATTAGAGATTTTGGAATGAAATAACTGTGATGTGAAACAATTCTTACTCTCTTTCCTCCTTCCTCCCCACCTTTGGACAGATGCTTTTCTCACTGGGACTTGAAAAGCTGCCATTTTTTAGCTGCATTTTTAAAAAATAACGTTTCTCTTTATTGTGTATTGTGTATGTGTGTGTTTTTCTAAAAGCACCTGGCATCTTCAGAGATATTTTGTATCGTAGTTTGTATTTTGTACTGCTTTTGAAAGGCAGCAAAGTGCTATTAATACTTTGATTCATTAGTTTGACCTCCCCTGCCTGCCCCCCATGTTCCTTCTCCCTCTCCTTCCTGCCTTTCAAATCCATATCATTTCAGTCCTCCCCTTCCTGAGAGCTGTCACTAGGAGTGATTCTGACAGAAGAGAAGCAAGTTTGATTTACTACCTGATGAAGTTGCAAATGTCACAGCTTATCAGCCATGATGGATTTGGTTGGATCAATCTTTTGATGAGTTCTGACCCTGGGAAGAAAGTAGGTTTGGGACACTTCCAGGCCCTTCTCTTTGATTTATTGATCTGGAGCCTTAATGTGGTGCCAGACTTGGCTGTGTTTTTTTTTTTTTCTTCCCCAGCAGCAGACCTATAAGGAATTGTGTCTTCATTGGTCTTTAAGATGATATTATATTCCACATTGGATTTTTTTATTCAATTTTATTTTTGTGGAGAGAGGCATGAGTTTAGTGCATCAAAGAGAGAAAAGCACCAACAGTGGTGGAAAAGATGGCAGGTCTGAGAACTAGATTTCCCCCAATATACCAGCAAGAAGATTGCTTAGAAAATAGACTGTGAGAGCTGGAAGGGACATGTCCCCCATTTTACAGTAAAGGAAATTGAGTCCTAGAAAGTGGAGGACTTCATCAAGATCACATAGCTGCTAAGAAGCTGACACAGAACTAGAACCCAGGTCTTCCATCTCCTAATCCATAGTTTAACCTAGCCCCAAGAGTGTCACTGTCCAGGATTATCTTCCTTGGGGAAAGGACAGTATGGTGATCAACTGACCAAATGACAGTCATTATTCAAAGAACCAGAGGTTTTCCTTCAGTACCTAAAAAGTCAGCTCATAGAAATATGCCCCGCTATGAACAGGCCAGCTCTTTCTCCCTCCAAGTTATTGTACTGGGGCACTTCAGTGAGCTGGGAGTTTTATAAGAATTAATCAAACAACAAAAGGGGAGAGACCTGAGTGTCTTATAGCTCTTCCTCACACAGTTCTTAATTGCACATAGTAGGTACTCAGCAAATATTTCTTGAATGAGTTGGTGGAGGAAACAAGCTGATATCAAATATTTATTCAAAGAATGCTACAAAGTCAGCATACTCAGTCTTATATTGTCTGCATAAGGAGAATTAATGTTAAAAAGTATGATTCTAATTAGGATCATGGGGGGCATAAATCATCTAAAATATCATAAGAAGAACTCTGGATATATGGAGTCAAAGGGCCTGTGTTCAATTCTCAGCCCTATTACTAACTTTGATCTTGGCCAAGTCTCTGGAACTCATTTTTCTCATCCATACGATGAAAAGGTTGGATGGAATGGAATGATTTTTTAAATGGTCCCTTCCAGCTCTCATCCTATGATCTATCAATATCAGAGTTGAAAGGGGTTTGATAAATCATCTCATCTGACCTCCTCATTTTATAGACGGCAGATCTTTGCTAGTCCTCTCTGTATTAAAATGAGAAAGTAGATGCCAAAATTTTAGAAAGATTTTCGACAGCAAAGGTTGAAACATGAGAAGTTCTTGACTTAGTTACTCAGAAGACCCCTAGTATCCTAGTTTATCAAGGTTTGGCTCAAGTAAATGCTAAGAAATTTAGGAAACTGGTATCAATGTTTATTACCTTTGATCCCCTAAAAATTCCTCTAAAGTGGTGGAGCTAAGTGGGAGGATGCACAGCCTACAAGGGCTTTGAAGAGCAATTTCTCTAAAGGGGAAGAGGAGAGGTCCTGCAAACGTTTGGATATGTGAGCTAGAAGCTTTACTTACCCAAGGAAGGTGCTCATGGAATTTTTTCTACTGGATTACCTGGGAGGTTGGGGAAGGGGGCTGGAGGGAAATTTGTCCATTGTTAGTTAATCAAAGCCATGTCCATTTTGTATCCCTGTAGAAATGTGAAAACTCTCTAAAGAGAAACAGTTCAGTCTACAACAGATTTCCTTCTTTCAAGGGTTGGCTAATAGTCTCTTATTCAACAAGAACAAACGTTTTCCTTTATTTCTTAAAGTACAAAATGGGCATGCTAAAATTAATGATCAATTTGAGATTCCCAAGATTTTGCCATCTTTAGGCCAAGTCACAGAATAGTAGATTTTGGGTTTGCAGATGGACCTCAGAGTCCATCTAGCTCACGAACTCCTGAAGCAGGATTCCTCTCCATAGGGGATGACCAGCCTATCAGTATCTTTTAGAGAGTACTGCATTCGAAGTCAGAGAACCTGAGTTCAAATTCCAGCTTTCCTACTTTGTAACTATGTGACCTTATACAAATCACTTCCCGTCTCTGGATCTCAGTCTTCTGCTCTGTAAAATGAGGGTTTAGACTAATTCAGTCTCTAAGGTCCCTTCTAGCTCTATAACCTGTGATCTTCTGTTTGAAGATACCTACTAAAGGAGAGCCCACTCCCTGTTAAGTCATCAGCAGAATCATCAAGGGCACTGGACCATTCTTCCTTCTGTTCTCATGATTGGCAGCCTTCTCTTTGCCCAGGAATACAATATGAAGCTCTGATTTTTCTTTAACCTATTATCTCTAGTTACAAAGAGAGGTAAAATAATAAACTTATACCCTTAATCCTAATCCTTTTATTGTTATGGTGCTGATAATTCTAGCATGCAACACTCCTGATAACATGGTGGCAATATGCCAACATGGAATCATAGAATGTTAGGGCTAGAAGGGACCTCAAAGATCCTATAATCCAACAGTTTTTAACTTGGGGTCCATGACCTTCCTTGTATGTGTGTTTTTTAAATTGATATTTGTGTTTCCATATAATTGTTTTCCTTTGTAATCCTATGTATTTTTACTTTATGTATTTAAAAATATTATTCTGAGGAGAAGTCCACAGGCTTCACCAGACTGTCAAAAGGGTCTGTGACAGAAAAGATTAAGAACTACTGCTCTAATCTAATCCTCTCATTTTATTGTTAGGGAAACTGAGGCTCAGAAGAGTGACTTACCCAAGGTTACGTAGCTGGTTATTGGCAGAGCCAGGAATGCCCTCAAGTCTGCTGACTCCCAATCTAATTTTTTTTATTTGTAATCCATTTTCAGTTGTGAACACTTTAAACCGGGTGGTCCACTTAAAAGCAGACCCACTAAAAATTATACTATGTTCCATGGAGCCCACTTTAAATGAGCCGCCCCATAAAAGAAGCACATAACCATGGGAATATCACGTGATGAGTGATACCCAGTGTTCCCCTTAATATTTAAGAATAAAAAAAGTTTGATTAGAAAGTAAGTTTAGGCATTTTGCTTCAAAGTAAGTTATTTATTTGTATATTTTCAATAAATATTGTTTTTAATTTATATCTGTACATATTTAAGATGCAAATCAGGCTTCTTGTCAGAATTTAGAGGGTGATATCATTTCCATTGACACACACCCTTCCAAATGTGCTCCACGTTTTGCCTGTTCATTAGCCATCTTGGCATCTTAAGGGCAAATGTGAGCCCGGTGGGCTTTTTGAAGCCCTTATGAAGGATTGTCTAGGAGTAGTAAACCATCTCCTCCTAGGTCTTTACCTTACACTGGCATTGTCCTTCTCAAGTATGTCAAAAGTATGTTTCTTCAAACCACAAACAGGACCCATATTTGTGGTTGAGCAGTAGAGCCAACACCTGGCTGGTAATAACAGCAGTCAAAGATCCTATCTTGGGAAAAGAGTCAGGTGGCCAACCTTAACTGGCTGGTGACAGTGCCCTGCAAAACACATGCTTGTTCTTTGAAACCCTGTACTGGAAAGACTCATTTTCTTTCCTTTGACTCTATATTGGTGAGGCACCATCTTCTCTCAAGATCTACCCTCTACATTATTTTTGCCTTCAAGAAGAATTCAAACACACCTACTGTATGGAGCATTCAGTAGAATATCCAACAGTTTTCCTTTCATCACCACCTACATGGAGATCTTAAATCTATCCAGACACAGGTAACCCTATTGCCAAAGCTGAGAGTTTTCCCCACCCCTGGAAGGCCAGGGAAATGTCCCTATAGTTGTAGAGTAGGAGGTATGATTGTCAAGCTGAGAGAAAGGAAATACAAAAAGAGGAAATAGAAAAATCCCTTAGTGTGATTACCTTGGCTTAATCAGTTAATTAACAAGCATTTATTAATTATCTACTCTGTGCCAGGCACTGGGGATACAAAAACAAAAAGCAAATAGCCCTTGTCCTCAAGCTTACATTCTATCCGATCAAGAAACATTTCTTAAGGGTCCAGTGCTCAAAACCTATCTGTAATGCCTCTGTGGGAATGTCCTTCAGGGATGATATGAGAACCATGGCATAAACTCAGTCTTAATATTTTACAATGTCATCTCCTCTTCAACCAGAAAAATCTTATTCAATCTGTATTACACCAAGTGACCTCAGGGTCTTTCCCCAAAATAAATTCCATCTATTAAGAATGAGGAATTAATAATGATAGCCCTCATTCTTACAATTTACAAAGAACATTCTTTATGATAGCCCTTTGAGTATAACTAAGGCAAATATTAATGCCTCTCTCTACTGATGAGGAAGCTGAGGCTGAGAAAGGCTTGTTCAAGGGCAGAGCTAGTCAGACCTGGAACTTAAACCTAGATCATATGACTATTAATCTCCTGTTCCATGTTGACTGGAGAAGTTGTTTTGGAGAAGGGAAAAAAAATGGGTTGCTGACTTCCAAAACAGGAGTTGAGAAAGGTTCTTAGGTTAACAAATGGTTGAAATTATTGTAAGGCACTTCCCAGAGGACCCCTGGGAGGGAGTGTGTTAGAGAGGGGTAGCACTCATTTTTTTTCAGTCCATCTCATATTAGCAGGAAACAATCTCCTACCTTATACTTTATGGTAAAAGTTGTAGATGGGAACTGCTGGAGGTTGATTATGTGGTAGTATTTTAGGCAAACCCATCTATACATAGTCACGATGGGAAACTCTAAATTAAGGTATTGACATCATCAGAGCAGAGTGATGGTTGTCTGTAAGCAACTCAAGAAAAAATGAGGTCATGGTCCCAGAAAATTGATCACTCGGTTCCATATTTAATTTAGGTCCACTTGGGAGCACAGGATAGATATAACAATGACATGCGCTTAATAGCCATTCATTGAAATAAGACACATCTAGGAGGAATATTTCCATTGAACTTCTATCATTCACCGTCAGACATGGTACCTCACCACTAACAGACAAAAATCGTGGTAGCTTTTAAATAGCATTTTCCTACATTTCCAGACATATTTTAAGATGGGTCTGTCATCACATAAACTATTTGCTAATGTCAAATTTTTGATGAAAGCATTAGGTATTTCCAATTCATGGCACAGTTTGGAAGGAGCAACATGAGTTTTGTTTCACAGCCTCTTGAAAGACTGTGTCCATCCAAAATGTGAAATAAACTTGTTGATCGATGCTGGGCAGAATTCTTCTCTCCCAGCAATACAACCTGCCTGTTTGTAATAGGAGAATCCATGTGATAAAGAGGAAATCCTTTTTTGGCCAGGAAAGGTACCTTTTAAAAATAGGAAATTGTCTTTCATTATATCGGTTTGTACACCTTTGCCTGAAATAGTTACAGATCTGTACTTCAAAACTATTCACATTTCTCTACACAGATACTATGATGCTATCAGGTATGTTTTGGTCATGGAAAGTATTTTTTAAACAGGGATCATTAGATCATAATTTTGAGGGACCAAAGCTGGTGGGTAGTTTTTTTTTTTCAATAGGCTAATTGTGTGTCAATTTTTCTAACCAAGAAAGAGATTATTAACGTTTCATTCAGCACCATTCTTTTCATTTCTAGACACTTTCAAAATTAATTGACCATGGTTATATGTTGTAAAATAATGTTCTCATATTAAGAATGTAATTATTTCCTTATTGTATTTTCTAAAAAAAACAAGATCGTATTTAAAATTCTCTGTAAAAGAACAAGCAAGGAACATGAAAAGAATTTTTTGGTTTATTTTTTTTTATTGACTATGTTGGCAGTGCCCATGATAATTGACTGTAAATAGATTCTTTTAACTATTTCTCAGTGTATTTAATTCATGGAAAACATGTAAAAAAAGCTTTGTTTTTTAAAATTTGAAATGGAAACCCCATTGATATAATTTCCTAGTTCCTTCATTTTAACTTTCTGCCTTTCTATTTAATTCTCCTAATGTCTTATGTGGTGTAGATACCGACTGGTGCCCCATGGCACGACACACCCATGTGTATTATTAATAAAATTACCCTATTTGAATAATGTTGTTGGAGCTTCTTTCTTCGGTTTATCATATATCAGAGGTTCCTAATATTTTGTAGGGAGGGGGTAGGTGAGATTCTTTTAGTTTCCATGATGTCTTCAGATCTAACCAGAGGTAATCCAACAAACATTTATTAAACATTTACTATATAGCAAAGTGTTGCTTCAGGTTCTGGGGATATGAAGTTCCTGTCCTCAAGGGGTTTATATCGTTCTGGGAAGGGACAAAGAGATACAAAATGTATGTGATAATCTGAGATCACTGGAAATCAGTAGGGTTGCTAGCAGTAGAGACACTGTTAATTGGCAAAATGGGTAGAACACGCAACCTGGAGTCAGGAAGACCTGAGTTCCAATTCAGCCTCAAACACTTGATAGCGGTGACCCTGGGCAAGTTATTTATCCACTCAGCCTCATCTGTAAAATGAAGATAATAATAGCTCTTGCCTCCAAGGGGTGTTGTGAAGATTAAATACAATAATATTTGTAAAGCATTTTTCAAACCTTAAAACACTATATGAAAGCCTTTTAGCCAGGGCAAGAATCTCTTTTTACCAGCACTATCAAGCTTCTGCCTTCACACTTCTAATGATAAGAAACTCTCAAGGCCACCTGATCCACTTTCTGTCCTGACTAAGTTAGGAAAACCTTCCTAAATTTTTACAATAAGCATTTATTAAACACCCATTGTATGTAATTTAATTGAACTAATTTCATAGAGCTAGAGCTGGGAGTGGAGGCTCTCTGGTCCCCTAACCTCATTTCACAGAGGCCCAGAGAAATTCAATGGCTCACCCATGCTTGTACAACTGCTATGTGTCTGAGGCAGGATTTGAACCCAGAATTTTGTGAGTCAGTGTGGTATAGTGGCTAGAGGCCTGTCCTTGGAGTCAGGGATACCTGGATTCAAGCATATACCGGTTTTATGACCCTGGGAAGCTACTTCTCAATTCTCCAGCTAGAAGAAGGAGTTGTTTCCTATTGGTAGAGGCAATTTTTCACTGGGAGCTCCCTGTACCAGTGAAATGACAGGTTCAGTTTAAAAACAAAAATGCCTCACTACCCCCTTCCCAAGCTTTAGGGGGAATCAAGTGAGTTCATGGATATGAAATGGCTTTGAGACTACAATAATAACTTTCGTAATTCCTACTTTTCTTAATTCTTTTTCAATCACAAGCATTTATTTTCTTTCCTTCCCACCAATACACCACCCTCACCCTCCTCCCACCTCCTTTAGAAAAGAAAAAAGAAAAAACAAAGCCTTTGTAACAAATCTGAATAATCAAGCAAAACAAATTCTTGTATTGCTTACATTCAATAGCACTTTGAGGTTTATAAAGCACGGGTTTTGGTAGGGCTTTTAAATACGCTTGTTTATAGCCGAGGAAATTATGTCTCAGTTCTGTGATTACTGCTCAGCCCACTGGCTCTGCTGACAAACGATGGGGACAAGCTTGGGCCTTGATTTTCTAACTCCTA